ATTTATTTATTTATTTATTTATTTATTTATTTATTTATTTATTTATTTATGTTTTGCTGACAGCTGTGACCTCAGTATGTATCTTTACTCATTAAAGAAAATCCTTGAATTCTTGATTTAACCTCATTATTCTGCACAAAATGTAACTGACTCACATATGTTTGGAGCAGTTTTAGGTCCTGATTTATATTCAAAAATCATGTCTAAACATCAGTTTTGTTTTCTAAATAAAAATGTTAAAAATTAATTAAAAACTCAAGTAATTTATTTTATCAATATGCAATAGAAATGTATATTAAATTTAAGATTAATCGTGATTAATTCACAGCTACTTTGGGATTAATCAGATTAAAAATATTAATCATTTGACAGCCCTACTTATAACTCAAAATCTTTTCAACGTAGGAGCTTCAGATTGTTTATTGTTTAGCTCTGATGAAGGACTGTCCATTGGGCCCACCCCCTCCGGACCCCCACCCAAAACAATAAATCTGTTCTGTGAGTTCTGTTAAATGAAGACTATTTGTAGAAAAATACTGTGGAATAAAGTTACAGTATTTAGCTCTACTCTGTCAAATATTTTAATAAGTTTCTAATTATTTTCTCCAAAGCTGTTATTTTTATAATCTCTGTCTTTCCCTACATATATTTATACACATTCTCAGAATAATGACCCTCCATCTTTAAATAAAATCTCTGCCACTTGTTAAAATAGATCTCAGCTCTGCTCTTGCGTTGCACTCAGGTGTACTGAATAATGATTTAAAGATGTTCTTATAATAAACCTGCTCAAAGGTACATTTTGAACCTTCTGGAAATAAGTTTTATGGAGCAGTTGTGCCCTGCAGTGCTGCTGCTGCTGCTGTTTGCAACACTTCCTGTAACGCTCCCCTGGTTTAGTTGTTGTTTTCTAAAAAGTGTGTCTAAAATGTGTAGCAGTAGTAATGAAATATGAACTTATTTATTTGATAAAAAAGCATCTTCCTTGTGTTCTGTCTCTCTTTCCCTCCTCCTGTTTCCGTCGTCCTGCCAGGCCGTCAGCTCAGTGTCTCACATGTCTTTGGTATTTGTTCGGTGAAGAGTCGTGCCTCTCGCCAAGGATTTTCCCTGAAACCCGATCAGTGTTTGAAGTGATAATGTGACTAAAGCTGTGTTTTCTGTTCTGCTTGGATTTTAGCATGTGTTCTTCCATTTATGTTACACATTTAAAACCTGTGTGACAAATGAATACATTGTTTTTTAAAGGTGCTTCAAACACGTAATATCAATAAAACCAGGCCTTACTTTGATATTGTGCAAATCTTAACATTTTTTGAAATAAAAACATATTCTGAGGGATTCTCACTGTGAAGCCTTTTTATATTTGATGTTTTGCGATCTGATGTCAGAATTCTGATTTTTTTCTCAGGATAAAAGTCAGAATTCTTTTTCTACAGTGATTTTGATTTCACACAAAATATAAAAACAAAACTTATTTTCATTATTATTTAAAAAATTTTTAAATATGAAAGTTGCCCTGACTCCTTTAAATTCAAATCAAATTGATTTTACTTCTCATGTTTCCTGTTTGTTTCTGGTATTCAGGTTCCGTCTCTGTTTTCATCTCTGCTACACCTGAAGGTCAGCCTGGAGAACACGTTGCAGACTGTGACTATATTTATTGACATATCTTCCATTGCGCAGAAGGCTGATGTGTGTGGGAGGTTTTTTATGAGCGGGACTTTCTCACTGAGGCCTCAGTGTGTTCTCCTGCCTTTTATGGCAGAGATGTTGCAGTCAAAGTTTTGCAGCTTAGATTCTGTTCATGAAGGAGTCTGGTTTCTGCAGGTGACTTCAGGTGACACATCAGGAGTTTAAACTTGCAGCCAGATTTTAGGTTTTTGCAACGTGTTTTTAGAGTATATTCACACCAGGAAAGTTCTTTGTTATGCGTGTATGGTCCGGACCAAAAGTGAAATTAATTTTTTTCATTTGGTGAGGTTTGCATTCACATTGTTTTTTTTTTTTTTTTTTTTTT